GCTTGCCAACTTCTCAGGGCTGGCCAACATCAGATTTGGAGATTGCCCCGTCCCCAGGGCTGTGAGTGCACCTCACTCCGGGGACTTCCTCCAAACAGTTCCCATATCGGCAATGGGAACGCGACTCGACCCTAAGACCCTCCGTATTGCAGTGGCTCTGCGCCTTGCTTCCCCAATTCACACAGAATATATGTGTATTTACGGCGAAGTGCAAGCAGACCAATACGGTCTACATGGTCTTAACTGTTCCAAAACCAAGGGCTGGCATGCAAGACACAATGAGGTCAACGACATCATTAAGAGAACCCTTGCTACAGCTGGATGCCCTGCCGAGAGGGAGCCACGATCCCTTGCAGCAAACAATACCCACAACCCAGCAAACCGCCCCGACGGGATCACCATCTATCCTTGGAAGAATGGGAAGCTCTTAGCATGGGACTATACCTGTGTGTCCACACTGGCTGACACCTATATCCATCACAGTGTGGGGCGACAGGGAGGAGCTGCTGACCACAGGGAGGAGTACGAGATCAGCAAGTACAGGGACATTAGCCAACAGTATCAATTTGTCCCAGTGGGATCAGAGACCTTGGGATCATGGGGTAAAAATGCCACACGTTTCCTTAAAGAATTGGGTTCCAGACTCATCGACACCAACAGGGACCCAAGGGCAGCCACTTTCATGTTCCAGCGCCTCAGCATCGCCATCCAGAGGGGAAATGCTTGCTGCATACTTGGCTCACGTCCAGCCTCGGAGGAGCTGGAGGAAATTCATCATCTTTGATACATTGTGCCATTGTATTCATGTTTATGTTTTTTTCTGTAAATGTATTTTGTTTATTAATAAATGTTCACATAGAATAAAAAAATATATAGGGGGTGGTAGGAGAAGAAAATATTCAAACAGCTCCAAGGAGAACCTTGAGTTTTCCCTGAGGTACGTTTATTGTCTTCTCTGAGGATGAGGGTCCCCAGTCCAGCTATAGAGGTGGTACTTCCCTATATTATTTAAAATAAATATATATATATATATATATATATATATATATATATATATATATATATATATATATATATATATATATATATATATATATATATATTATATATATATTAACATTAATGAAAAAAATATATCTTTAAACGCATAAGAGAAAATTTCAGAAAGGACTTAATTTTAAATGAGTTCTTGCTAATTGACTATATGTATGTGTGTGTGTGTGTGTGTGTATGTGTGTGTGTGTGTGTGTGTGTGTGTGTGTGTGTGTGTGTGTGTGTGTGTCGTGTGAAATATGTGAGAGCAGGTGTTATCACTGACAACCTCGTAGTCAACAGGTGACGTACCCAAACAAGGCCCCGTGTTGTTAGTGTCACCTGGGAGACCGCGGCTGCATGCTCCGCTGCCTAAGACGTCTTTCTTTATGTTTTCCTAATTCTTTTTTATTATTATTTATGTTACTATTATTGTTATTTTTATGATTGCTGCTGTTATTATAGGTTACGGTTAGCTTTGAAATAGCTCTGCAAAATATAACTACAAATCGTGGAGGTTCACAAGGTGACGAGGTGATGGGTGCGTTCATCGACCGTACCTGTGTGATACACCTGGCACTCCAGTCTCTCTCTCACAGTGTTGCTGACACCAGTGTCAACACTCACAACACCAGTGCCAACAATTACAACACGAGGGCCAATACCAGTTAACGTGAATTACTCTCATTATTATTAGAATTATTTAAATTATTATTATTATTATTATTATTATTATTATTATTATTATTATTATTATATTATTATTATTATTATTAAAGTACACGACTGAAGTTCATGGACCGTGTGCAGTCATAGAGAAAAAGGCCTTTATTTTATAGGACCTGTCTCTTAGTAGTGACCTTAACAAGTCTCGTACTTCTGATCTTGCTATCTCACTACAAGACTCAACGTGAGTTTCCTGGAAGAATAAGACATATCGTGGAGACGTTTCGCCCACCACTGGCATAATCCACTGCAGAGAATAATGCTGGAGACGGTGGAAGAAATGTAGCAGCAGTGTGAGGTGGTCAGTCCCTCCCTCGGACTTGAAAGGTGTTTAGTACTTCAGTTAGTTTAATACATTTATTACGCCTCTCATACTCATCCTGTGGGGAGAAGTTAAAAGATTATACAGGCAGAAAATGGTCCAAGGACTATATCTCAACATTACAGAGCCACATAATGGATCTAGGTACTGTTCCTTAACATTAAAGAGGTACATAATGGGTCCAGGGACTGTTCCTCAATATTACAGAGATACGTAATGGGTCCAGGGTCTGTACCTCAACGTTACTGAGGCACCAAACATTACAGAGGTACATAATGGGCCCAGGGACTGCATTTCAATATTACAGAGGTACATAATGGATCCAGAGACTGTACCTAAACATTACAGAGGCACATAATGGGTCCAGGGACTGCTCTTCAACATTACAGAGGTACAGAATGGGTCAAAGAACTGTACCTCAACATGATATAGGAACAAATGGGTCCAGAAACTGTACCTAAACATTATAAAGGCTTTTTAATGTCTCCAGGAACTGTAACTAAACATTACAGACGCACATAATGGGTCCAAGGACTGCACTTCAACATTATAGAGGCACATAATGGGTCCAGAAATTGTACCTCAACATTACGGAGGCACATAGTGGGTCCAGGAACTGTACCTCAACATTACAGAGGCACATAATGGGTCCAGGGACTGTACCTCAACATTACAATGGCACATAGTGGGTCCAGAAACTGGACCTAAACATTACAGTGGCACATAATGGGTCCAGGAATTGCATCTAAACATTACAAAGCACATAATGGGACCAGGAACTGTACCACAACATTACAGAGGCACATAATGGGTTTAGAACTGCATCTCAGCATTACAGAGGCACATAATGGGTTCAGGGACTGTTCCTCAACAATACAGAGTCACAAAATGGGACAAGATCCTTTACCTCAATGTTACAGAGGCACAAGATGGGTCCAGGATTCGTCCCTCAACATTACAGAGCGCATAATGGGTCCAGGAACTGTACCTAAACATTAAAGGAGTACATATTGGGTCCATGGACGTCCAGGAACTGTACCTAAACATTAAATGAGCACATATTGGGTCCAGGGACGTCCAGGAACTGTACCTAAACATTAAAGGAGCACATAATGGGTCCAGGGACTGTGCCTCAACGTTATAAAGGTACATAATGGATCCAGCGACTGTACCTCAACATTACAGAGGCACATAATGGGTCCAGGATTTGTACCTCAACATTACAGTCACAAAATAGGTCAAGATTCTTTACCTAAACGTTACGTAGGCACAAGATGGGTCCAGGATTCGTCCCTCAACATTACAGAGGGACATAGTGGGTGCAAGAACTGTACCTGAACAATACAGAGGTACATAATGGGTCCAGGGACTGTACCTCAACGTAATAGAGGTACATAATGGATCCAGGGACTGTACCTCAACATTACAGAGGTATAATGCGTCCAAGATTTGTACCTTAATATTACAGAGGGACATAATGGGTCCAGAGATTGTATCTCAATATTACAGAGGCACAAAATTGATCCAGGTACTGTTCCTCAACATTACAGAGGTACAGAATGGGTCAAGGAACTGTTCCTCATAATTATGGAGGCACAAAATGGGTCCGGGATTCGTGCCTCAACATTACGGAGGTTCATAATGAGTCCAGGAAGTGTACCTCAACATTATAAAGGTACATAATGAGTCCAGGAACTGTACATCAACATTACAGAGGCACATAATGGATCGAGAAACTGTATCTAAACATTACAGAGGCACATAATGAGTGCAGGAACTTTACCTAAGCATTACAGATGTTTTAATGGGTCCAAAAGCTGTACCTAAACATTACAGAGGCATATAATGAGTCCAAGAACTATACCTAAACATTACAGTGGCATATAATGAGTCGAGGAAGTGTACCTAAACATTACAGAGGCATATAATGAGTCCAGGAACTGTACCTAAACATTACAGAGGCATATAATGGGTTCAGAAACTGTATATAAGCATTGCAGAGGCACATAATGGGCCCAGAAACTGTATCTAAACATTACAGAGGTACATAATGGATCCAGCGACTGTACCTCAACATTACAAAGGCACATAATGGGTCCAGGAACTGTACCTCAACATTACAGAGGCACATAATTGGTTCAGGAACTGTACCTCAACATTACAGAGAGACATAGTGGATCCAGGAACTGTACCTAAACATTACAGGAGCACATAATGGGTTCAGGGACTGTACCTCAACATTATAGAGGTACATAATGGATCCAGGGACTGTACCACAGCATTAGAGAGGTACAGAAAGGGTCAAGGAACTGTTCCTCAAAATTATGGAGGCACAAAATGGGTCCAGGATTCGTGCCTCAACATTACAGAGGTACAAAATGGGTCCAGGAAGTGTACCTCAACATTATAAAGGTACATAATGTGTCCAGGAACTTTACATCAACATTACAGAGGCATAAAATGGGTCCAGAAACTACACCTAAACATTACAGAGGCAAATAATGGGTCCAGAAACTGTATCTAAACATTACAGAGGCACATAATGGGTCCAGAAACTGTATCTAAACATTACAGAGGCACATAATGGGTTCAGAAACTGTATCTAAACATTACAGAGGCACATAATGAGTCCAGGAACTGCGCCTCGTGGTGTAGCTATATACTGGATATGAAACCTTGTCTATCAAGACTGTAAGTTTAGAGGTATTTTTATTATTATTAATATTATTATTATTATTATTATTATTATTATTATTATTATTATTATTATTATTATTATTATTATTATTTTATTATCCTTATTGTTATAACCATTATTATTATTTCTAAAATTATTAATTATTATTTATAATAATAATTATTGCTAGCATTATACTAATGGGAGAGCGCTAAACCCAACGGGTCATACATCAGATGGAGGAATGGAAGTTAGGTTTGATCCAAGGAAATGGGGCATACCTCCCCTCTCCTTTGATGAGGATCCCTTCGTCAATATCAACGGGGTGGAGGAGTTAAAATTTGGGTCGGGTAGGAAATAGTAGCAGAATATTTAAGGGGGAGGATAGAAAGGGGCGGTGGTAGGAAAGAAGGAAGAGAGGAGGGGAGGAAGAGGGGAGGGGAGGGGAGGAATAAGGAAGGGGAGGAAAAGGGGAGGGGAGGAAAAAGGGAGGGGGAGGAAGAGGGATGATGAAGTGGAGGAGGAAGAAGGGTGGGGGAAGGGGAGGGGGAGGCAGAGCGATGGGAGAATAAAACAGGAGGGAAGGGAAAGAGGAAAGAATGGAAGGGGAAGGTTAGGAAGAGGGGAGGAGAAGAAGAGGGGGGAGGAGAGGAAGAGGGAATGGTAGAGGGTAGGAGAGGAAGAGGAGAGGAAGAGAAAGAGGGGGAGTAAGAAGGGAGGGTGAGGAAGAGGAGGGACAAGAGGAAGGTAAGGAATAGGGAAGGGGAGGAAGAGAAGATGGGGAAAAGGAAAGGAAAGGTGAGGGTCCGGGGTGGATGAGGAGGAGGGAAGATAGAGGGAACGGGAGAAAGAGGAGAGAAAGAGGAGAGAAAGAGGAAAAGAAAGAGGGAAAGAGGATGACTTAAAATTGTAATTTTAACCAATATTGAGGACGCTATGAATTTTCTCAGACTGGTAGCGGGACGCTGGGGGAGGGGAGGGAAGGGGAGGGAGGGGGAGAGGGGAGGAAGGAGAAGGAGGGGAAGGGAGGCGAGGGAGGCGAGGGACGGGAGGGAGGGGAGGGAGGCGAGGGACGGAGGAGGTGAGGGAGGGGGAGGGATGGGGAGGGAGAGGGAGGGAGGGAGGGAGAGGGGGAGGGGGAGAGGGGGGAGGGGGAGGGGGGAGGGAGAGGGAGGGGAGAGGGGGAGGGGAGGGAGGGGAGGGAGGGGGAGGGAGGGAAGGGAGGGAGGGAGGGGGAGGGGGAGGGAGGGGAGAGGGGGAGAGGGGAGGGAGGGGGAGGGGAGGGAGGGGGAGGGGGAGGGAGGGGAGGGGGAGGGAGGGGGAGGATACACTTTAGTGGGCCTAGTCTGAGGACTAGGAGCAGAGGGGGGCTCATCTCCCCACCAAAATCACTAAAACACATTTTCTTCTCTTTCAGAAGCACTGATAGAATATCAGCAGTAACAGGTAGACCAGAGACAGCCAGGAGCTGCAGCAACAGTAGAAGCAACAGGAGCAATAGTGCCAGCAACAGCAGCACCAGCAGCAAGGGCAGCAGCAGCACTAACAACAGCAACAGCAGTGCTATCAATAGCAACAATAGGAACAACCCTGCCAGCAACAGCAGGAGGAGCAGTACCAGCACGAGGGAACAGACACACCTCCCTCACATGGCCGGTGCAGGCAGTGCTCGCCCTGGTCGTCACCCACCTTCATTAAGGATGGTGGTTGGTGTGGTGGTTGCAGTGGTAGTGGTGGGTCAAGTAGTGGCACTGCCAGGCACCTTCTTCACCAATGAAGAGATCAGAAACAAATGGTTACCCTCAGGTAGCATCGACGTTCTTACAGGCATCGACCAACCACTCTGTGAGGCACAATGTACAGTGGTGAGAATTTTTCTGTCTGTTAAAACACTCGCACGATCAAAGTTTTACTAATAACACATATAAAACACATAGACGTCTTTAGTAAGTTTATTTAAGTACAGGTACATATTAGTACAGTTATTATACATAGTGCAAATTGTTAGGCAAAAGGACACAAGTGCAACTAATGTGACATTTTATTATGTCAACGTTTCGCTCTCCAGGAGGTATGTCAAGCTATTACAATAAAATGATACATTAGTTGCACTTGTGTCCTTTTACCTAACAAATTGTCTGTAATTCTGCCAACATTGATAGTGTAAATTACCTGGAATATCCCAAAACAGGCAAAGTGATTTATTTCCATTGGTGTCCTTGTAATATCTTATTATTTAAACTTTAATAAGGATAATGTGATGAATGATACACAAGTGCAACACTTAGGTTTAGAAGTCTGCTGTGCAGGCGAAACGTTTCTACTATAAAAATGTTAATGTTAATAACTCAGTTTTACCTTATTACTAGTGTATCTCGGTTTATTGTGACTGAGTTACTTAACTATTTTAACTTTTAAGGAGGGGGGTATTAAACACCATTAACGTAATTCTGCCGTATTTTAAGTACGGCTTTATCAAGTCTGCTTTTTTTGTCGTCTGCTATATTATTCTTGAAGACTGGGTCACTTTTGCAACATCTGCGAATCAAACCATACAACGGGCGGGGTTAGAACCCGAGATCAGAGTCTCAAAACTCCAGACCGTGGTATGGTTTGTTTGCAATCGTGTCATTACGATTTCGTGAGTCATCTGTGAATCTTTATTAAGGAAACGTTACGCCAGTCAGTGGCTTCATGAGTGCAATACAGAGAAGAATGAAGGAGGGACTGATTCTTCAAACGCCTCATCTTCCACCGTTCTTCTCAGTACTAGACTAAAAAGGTACCTGGGTGGAGAAATGTTTCCTAAATACAGATGCCCAAACGTTGCACAAGTCTCTCGCTCTACAACTTCTCCGTTGTCTAAAGCATTAACAATTACTGTTCCTTCTTCAGGCACCTAGACAACACACCATAGTTCTTAACCTAGATACAAGCAGAAATTTCTACTCGGGGGCGTGACCCCCGAATCACTCTCCAGGTATACTTCAGACATCCTTGGGGTGGACTTGTTATCCACGTATATCAATTATTATAACAATCATATCTAAGAGGTAAATCCCCAGTGTCAAACAGCATCACGTACCTCAAACACTTTCTTCTTCTATCTCATCTTCAGTTTATTATCGATATATAACAAGTGACTTCTACAAAACTTACACACAAATTGGATGTCAGTTTTATACTAAGATTTCCGTCCATCCTCGACCATCGTTAGTTGGGAATTAACAGACATAAAATTGCTCTTACCTTATTTTCACTTTAATACGACCCAGATACTCAGAGACCTGTTATCCTGGGTGTAAAGGGGAGCTAGGAGCAGAATAAACACAGCAGAGTAACTTTGAATTGTATTTTCCTTCACCAAGTGCGATTATAGGTATTTACAAGTATGTACACTATATGCAGGAGATTGAAATACATGTGTACAACACGGTAAATCAAGAGGCAAGGCACAGCCTAAAGACACAATGGGCAACCGTGTTCAACCAGCAGCTGGATGAAAATGAGAAGGGTGAGAATGTGAGTGGTATCCACGTCACCTTCACAATTGCCAGATCCACAATATGATTGGCTGAACCTAGATGCTGATTTGGCGATGGAGCCCCGTACATCGCCAAACTCTTAGCGACCTGATTCGCTGGTTGGTGAGGCAGCCTAAGTGAGTGTGTTAACATGCTCCGAATAAGGTGAATAAGGTTACATACTCTTTGCTTGCAACACATTCCTTGCAGACGGCCCTGCCTTTGGCTTACGATCACATTTTGACTTTTTGTCAGCAACTGTTTTACTATACGAACTTTGACACCCTTAGCGTCCCTTACGGCCCTTTTCTCCCCTCACCTCTGATCTTCTCTCCAATCTGTTTATAGCCCTGGCACTATTTTCTGCCCCACAGTGCTGCATGACCCTTGTCAGTTTAGTGTAATATTTGATTATAATAATCGTCTGGTGCTTTCCTGGTCTGCCAGACTGCTGTTGTTGGCAGCCCATTGGCTCACATATCCCTCACAGACAAGTTCATCTGGCACCTGGTAAAGATACTTGTCCAGTTTCCACTTGAAGACTTCTAAATTTGTCCTAACAGTGTTTCTGATATCTTGTGGTAAGATGTTGAGTAGATTGGGGCCAAGAATACAGTGTTCTCTTATTGTGCCCACGGCAGCCCTGCTTTTCATTGCTTTGCACTTCCTCCCACATCTCTCGCTCCAGTATGTTATGGCAGTGTGAAAATTTTGGACACGACCTTCAGGTACTTTCCAGGTGTATGTATTATCGTGTGTGTGTGTCTCTTTCTCTCTTGGACTTTAATGAATCGTAAATTGTTCCAGCCACGGCTTTGTGGATTAATTGTAATTGTAGCAACCATGATATTGCGGGTCATTTGTGAATTGTTCCAGCCACGGTATATCTGGTTAGTTGCAAATTGTTTCAGCACTGAAAGTGTGGATAATCTGTGAATTGTTTCAGCCTAGAATATGTTCTAGGCAGAAAAAAATCACAATACTTCTTTCTTTGGGTCAATATATATTGAAATAAGTACACATCTTTCGTACCCTGGAAATCTTTCCCATCAGTGAGCAGCTGTCACTATTCAAATCATCGCTCAAGAATATTGTAGGTGAATGTGTCAACAATTTTTTGTAAACTCCCATGTTTAGCATTTAAATTTTCATCGCATTCCTATACCTGTATGCAAGCAGATCATTGTGTGTACGACACAGATTTCTGACCCCTCCTGATTTGACCCCATGAGCCATGAGGCATAAACTTTGGTAGTCATCAAAACTTCCATTGTTATATGTAGACTATATAATCTTTGTACCTCATAAAGAAATAACAAAAAAAAATTTGAATTACAGCATCCCAAGTGTAACGCCTACGCTATTTCGTTGTTTGAGAGGAAGTGTGTGAGATACAACGCGAAGGTGGGCAAGGCTAAGCCCGTCCAGTACCTCGGATATAACCTTTACATCCTCAAGAAGAGTGAGTACTGCCCTTTGAGTACATTGTTAGTGTCTTTATAACTAAGAGGAACCGACATTGCTGTTACTTATACATTTTCACTGAAGTGACAGATCTCAGCATCTCAAACTTTGTTTCAGTAAAGTGGAATACATTATATTATACATTCAAGTTGATTGACATTTACATAACTACTTATAGGAAACCTCTTGTACAGAAATGTAAGTGTAAGTGTACAGCACAGTAAACAAAGAAGGCAAAATGCAAGAGCCAGAGAATGCAAAGTGTACGACCAGCACCCCAAGACAAGTCACAAGTTTACCTGGAGTTTACCTGGAGAGGGTTTCGGGGGTCAACGCCCCCGCGGCTAGGTCTGAGATCAGGCCTCATTTTGAATCAGGGTCTAATCAACCAGGCTGTTACTGCTGGCTGCACGCAAGCTGACGTACGAACCACATCCCGGCTGGTCAGGTACCGACTTTAGGTGCCTGTCCAGTGCTTTCTTAAAGATAGCCAGGGGTCTATTGGTAATCCCTTTTATGTATGCTGGGAGGCAGTTGAACAGTCTTGAGCCCTGGACACCCAGTGTGTTGTCTCTCAATGTACTCGTGGCTCCCCTGCTTTTCATCGGGGGAATGTCCGTGGAACTGAGGTACTGATAAAACGACGGGGCCTCTGTTGATCGTTAAATCCTTAGTGCTGGTTCGCTGGTCGGGAGGCAGCCTATAGGGGAGTGTGTCATAAGACTGAATGAAACGTAAAACAGGAGGTATCTAGAAACTCAATAAAAATAATATAATTATACGCTAAGTGAATGGTTGCGTACTGATATTATTATTAGAATCAGAAATAAGCGCTATACCCACAAGGGTCGTGGCATACTGGAAAGAAAAGGGGCATAGATTTTCCAGAATAAGTCCAGAGAGCATTTCTATCATCTTAAGATCTTTATCAAGGTTTATCAAGGACGTGTGAAAAAAGACACTTGCGTACAGTACAGGACATTTATTAAAGGGAATGTTTTACCCTGTCTTCAGTAGTCCTTGCACCTGTATCAAGGTATCAATCCTCGCACCTGTATCAAGTTATCAGCCCTCGCACCTGTATCAAGGCTTCAGTCCTCGCACCTGTATCAAGGTATCAGTTCTCGCACCTGTACCAAGATACCAGTCCTTGCACCTATTTGAAGGTATCAGCCCTCGCACCTGTATCAAGGTATCAGTTCTTGCACCTGCATCAAGGTACCAGTCCTCACATATCAAGGTATCGGTCCTCGTACCTGTATCAAGGAATCAGTCCTCGCACCAGTATCAAGGCTTCAGTCCTCGCACCTGTATCAAGGTATCAGTTCTCGCACCTGTACCAAGATACCAGTCCTTGCACCTATTTGAAGGTATCAGCCCTCGCACCTGTATCAAGGTATCAGTCCTTGCACCTGCATCAAGGCACCAGTCCTCACACCTGTATCATTGTATCAGTCCTCGCTTCTGTATCATTGTATCAGTCCTCGCACCTGTATCAAGATACCAGTCCTCACACCTGTATCAAGGTATCAGTCCTCGCACCTATATCAAGGTATCAGTCCTCGCACCTGTATCAAGGTATCAGTCCTCACATCTGTATCAAGGTATCAGTCCTCACACCTGTATCAAGGTATCAGTCCTCGCACCTGTATCAAGGTATTGTAGACAGCCTGTACTGTCTGCACAGACAGCCATGCTGTCTGCCAGCTGAGTTCATATTTAGTGCTATGCTTGTGCTGCCACCTATAGGCTTACCACTTCAGTATGCCCACCCCTGCCTCTGCCTCACTCACTCAGCGGCCTAGACTCAGACAACTGGTCCTACTCCTCTCTCCCTCGCGGACATGGCCCTCCTGGGCCATGGGCACTTAACACACTGCTTGTGTACCCCGCGACATTGCAAATAAAGGAAGAACCCCTCCTGAGCTTTATCATTACTCCCCGCTACCAGAAATACCAATAAACCTTATAAAACATTGGTGGAAGCGGTGGCTGCAGCAAGTGTGTTTGCCTGGAAAGAGGAAGGAAGAGGAATGAAGTTGTGCTCACGTCATCACCCCACATAAGAAGCATCCGTCTTTCAAAGAGTTATCTTGGTGTCATGTCTGCACGTTTCACCATCCAGACACAAGTACACGCAGGATCTAGCCGATATTTGCTGAATTTCTTCGAGAATTGTAAAAGGTGCGTTCCAGGGTTCAGCGTCACTTGTATGTTCTGCTGTTATTGTTCAGCTCAGCACAGCTATTTCAGCAAGTCAGAGGTGAGTTTTATGGTGATTTCTGCGTCCAGTGTGAGTGCCTTCCTGTGTTTGTGGGTGGAGGAGGAGGAGGAAGTGGCCGTTCCTCGCCATACACTCACCCACGCTTGCCCTGCTGTACACTCACACCTCACCAGCCTACCACCACACTCCACCACTATGTACTTACTCCCTCTGCTGTGTTTTCTGCTGTTTTCCATGTGAATTCATTGCCAGAGCTGTGTATCTGAGTGCCTAAGGCCACTTGAAACTACGTGGATCACCATGCCACGTGGATCAGCAGGCCACATAGATCACGAAGTCACGTGGAGCAAGCCACGCGGAGTGTCGACGATGTCACGTGGGTCTACAAGCCATGTGGGTTACCAAGTCAAACGTCCCAGTTCACATACTGTGGTATGCTGCCCGCATCACATTGCCGTCACCCACGATGCTGCCCGACTTCATGACGTCACGATGTCTCCCTGACGTCACCTCGAGACGTCTGCTGACGTCACCATGCTGCTGACGTCACCTCGTGACATCACATGATGTCACATCGAGTGTTCTAGTAATTATTTCAGTATTGTCGAGAAGATTGAGAGAAGATATATGTCATATGTTAATTAATTCCTCTCGGTCTGTGTTCTCACATGTTTGTGTATAGCTTAGTGTCAATTTTTGCATAGATAAGCGTCTTTTGCTAGTAAGCCCTGTAGTACCGCATATGCAGTGCGGATGGGTGCAATTTTCCGTGTGTCCTGTGTGGTCTGCTCCCAGACCACTGTGTAGCACCTCCTGTTACTTGTCACCAGGTGTGACATGCACATTTGACAGCTGATATTAGTCAGTCCGAGCGTCTGAGCCTCTTGTACAGAAAGCTCTTAATTGTTCATCGCTCATGATGTCCTGCAGAATCGTACCTGCTACAATTCCTATTGAGATTTGTTTCACTTCACCTCCAGACCATCAGAGTGCAGTTATATGTAGAGAAATAAGTCTGGGGATGCTTAAACTAATCTCTGCTATAACTCCAACTGCCGAGAGAATGACACTCGTCAAGCCACAGTTTAAGCCCTGTCGGCAGGCGCTATGTCAGCCTCGTGTCATAGCTTCAGTGAGCAGCCTGCACAAAGATGATGTCACATTAACTGCTAACCCGCTCACTGCATTACAGTGTATGATGTTACGACTCCCCAGATGTTTCGCTGAGTCGTCTCTGCCACAACTCGCTGCCACAACTCATTTCACGCTCGCCGGCAGTGACCACCCCAGCGACAGTACCAGTCGAGAAATGTCCTCCTGAGTCGCTTGCCAGAAGTCCTGCCCAGTTGCCGAGTACTAACGACGCCTCACTCGAGGGCACCAGCAGGCTGTGCCCAAGGTTGAGTGAAACCCTTCAGCGACTCCTTCGATAACTGCTTCACTGTTCCAGAGGAGACCGTACCCTGTTACGTCACAGCTCAGCCACAGCGATGTCTCCTGCATTTCAGTATCTGTCCAGATGCAGGAAGGCTTGCAGTGATGCCCATAGATGCTCACTGCCTATGACCACGATATTTAGCACACCCCACCTGTTCTTTCTTCCTTCCCTGTAGGAAGTTTTTCTTTCCATGTCCATATGTATATATATATATGTTTTTATTTTGTGCCCAGTTCCTACGAAAAAGCTTATAAAACATTATACCAGTCCTCGCACTTGTATCAAGGTATCAGTCCTCGTACCTGTTCGAAGGTATCAGTCCTAGCACATGTACCAAGGCATCAGTTCTCGCACCTATATCAAGGTATCAGTCCTTGCACCTGCATCAAGGTACCAGTCCTCACACCTGTATCAAGGTATCAGTCCTCGTACCTGTATGAAAGAATCAATCCTCGAACCTGTATCAAGGTATCAGTCTTCGCACTTGTATCAAGGTATCAGCCGTCGCACCTGTATCAAGGTATCGGTCCACTCACCTGTATCAAGGTAATAGTCCTTGCACCTGTATCAAGTTATCAGTCCTCGCGCCTGTATCAAGGTACCAGTCCTCGCACCTGTACCAAGGTATCAGTCCCCGCCCCTTTATCAACGTACCAGTCCTAGCACCTGTACCAAGGTATCAGTCATCGCACCTGTATCAAGGTACCAATCCTCGCACCTGTATCAAGTTATCAGTCCTCGCCCCTGTATCAAGGTACCAGTCCTCGCCCCTGTATCAAGGTACCAGTCCTCACACCAGAATCAAGTTATCAGTCCTCACACCTGTATCAAGGTACCAGTCCTCGCACCTGTATCAAGGTATCAGTCCTCGCATCTGTATCAAGGTACCAGTCCTCGCACCTGTATCAAGGTATCAGTCCTCGCCCCTGTAATTTCACACGACACGTCTAAATTACTGTTATTACTTATATAGGGAGTGATTTCAATTCATATTGGTCATACACCACATAAAAAATGGGAAGTATTTAGGGTCGGTCAAAGGAAGGGGAGAATAACACAAGTTCCTTGGACCAAGAGCCCTTCACCAACACTGAGGAACATCCCGTAGGAGAGTTGTCACATATTTTTTCGAGTTTATGTCTTCAGTGAATTACAATAACTCTTAATGAGTTTCTTAGAATAGTAATAGGAAGATAATACTTCTAGATGTGATAGGAAGATCGTACTACTAGTAGTGATAGGAAGATCATACTACTAGTAGTGATAAAAAGATCATACTACTAGTAGTGACATGAAGATCATACTACTGGAAGTGAAAGGAACATCATACTACTAG